CACCAACCCTAACTACACTTGCCAACGAGACGCTACCATTAGCCCAAGATAATGCATCATGACACTCAACCATCGGCTCGGCTATGAGGATCTTGTTTCTCACCTCACTGTGAGGCACAAGGAGACTCGGCACTCGCCTGCAAGTGGGCCTTAGGCTGCCAGTCGGGGCAAATGTGAAAAACATGAACACTGGGGAGCCAAAGGCAGTCAGGCGTTGTGCTTGGCACACCCCCCACCCCCCATGTGTCACGCTGGCTTTCACAGGTGCTCGCTAAAAGCAATTGTCCCAACAGTCTTTTAAAGGTGATATGGGGGATCTTTGTCTTTTTTCTGCAGCTGGAGAAGAAGCCTTGCTGGCGTGGGGCAACATACAAGGTACTAGCTTAGCAGCGTGGAGAGAGGCCTGTTCTTCACCTGCTCAGAGACAGGCCTGGAAAGGTGGAAAATAAAAGAAAACAATCCACGAATAAACTAACAACAAAGGAAGTAGGGACAATGGGACCTGGGACAATGGCACGTGAGACAATGATACATAGGCCAGAGACTTGGAACAAGGGAGCCAATTCGAACGCCACGGGTGGCGGTAGTGGCACGTAGCCTGCAATCCAGTACTATGGAGGCAGGCAGTAGTGACGGTTGGCAGATCACATGCACGTTGTGGAACCCCCTTTCCATGGGCGTCGAGGTGGAATAGAGTGTTTCCGCTTGCACGTGTGGTTTTTCTCTGGGTACTCTGGTTTCCTCCGACACATAAACACTCAGGAATTTGCCTGTAACATGTTTTTTTTATATATATATAGAGGACCGCAAAAGATTGGCCAATTGTTGGAACCAGCTCATTTCGTCGCTGCTGCCTTCCTGCTTGCATGGTTCCGAGTACTTTTTTTGCTTCGCAATACAAGCCGACATGATCATGATTATAATGCGCGCTGGCCGGCATCTGGCACTGGGAAATATTGAAAAAAATAGGTTTCTGACAATATAACAGGTGTTAAGATGTTCAAACACCAAATAGACAGACACCTTTTGGTCCCATGATATATCTGCTTAACCCAAGCTATAAGTGCTCTGATAATTGCATTTTCTTTGTGTAGTGTTCTTCACGGAGGCACAAACTTGAACTTGGAGGCAACACATTTATTACACGAACCTAACATGGCCACTACTTAACACCACAAAAGGTTAACTAGACCCCAACAGGGTAACTACATAACCGGGTCAGTCAGTAACATACAGTAACATACTGCCTGACCCACGATGCCGAACGTGACGACCGAAAATCGAAGAGACGTCGCCCGGCGGGTTGATTCCAGAAGACAGCCGCGATTGCTCTCGGGACTTCGCTTTTATGCTCCCGAGCGTGGCCTCGCTCTGCCTTCGGTTCTCGACTGAGCATCACGTGTCCCTCAAGCCACCATTTGGGCTCCCTCGATACCCTGTCCCGGTCACGTGCACTTTTGGGTTCATCCAGACTGTCACGTCCCTACTTGCCCTCTCTCTGACTGTCACCAGAACCATGCCATACCTACTCTGGTGCCAGAGAGGCTTAAGACGCACCGTTACCCTCTTGTGACAGTAGCTGGCATTAACCGCCATAGCGACTCCATTTACGTCACTACATTTGTATTGATTTGGAGCTTCCGTGACTGCAGAAATTACTCTTTGGTTCTTTCGGTAAAGTCACGTAGAAAGAAAGAAAAATTAATTACATTTTTCTTTCTACGTGATTTTACCGGAAGAACCAAAGAGTACATTTGTACTCTTCTTTGGTTCTTTCGGTAAAGTCACGTAGAATGAGAATAAAATAATAAATTGATAAAATAAAATAACACAATAATATTCTCACGACGTTTCGGCCACAACACAAGCGGCCTTCATCAGGTGAAGGGACGAGACTGTCTGGTAGGACAGCGCTGGAGTGAAAGAGCCACGTTCAGATCACGGCCTTTAAGCTGTGTGAGAGGAACAAAGCGCCTTGACAAAGGAATTAGCATATAATTTAGCATTGAAATGGCTGAATGGTTAGCTTGTGACTGGTCACAGGAATAGCTATGTTAAAAGTTAAAGCATACACATCCGCAGAGGCACCCCTTGTTAAAGGAATTAGCATAGAATTTAGCATTGAAATAGCTAAGTTAAAGCATACACATCCGCAGAGGCACACCTTGACAATGGAATTTGAATTTGTACTGTTCGCCTTTCGGCGTTCTCTGGTCTGACACTGGTGAGACAAGGACTTAAATAATGCTGTCTCAAAGACAATACATTTATTTATCAGAGCGTGTTTGTTTGCATCTGTTGCCACAAGTACGTGTGGTTAATGCAGACTTTATTCCTTTAAAAAGGTATCTGTTTGATGATTGAACATCTTAACACCTGTCTTATTGCCATACTTTGATGCTGGTAAATAATATCCTAAAGATATATTGTTGTTTGTATCTGATAAGCATGCACTAGAACTCGTCATATTGTGTATGAATGAAAAAATGTGCAATCACAGCGCAATATCCTTATGGCAAATCGTTGTCAGTGTTATTTAACGATCTGCGCTTAGGCGTTGGGCAGTGGTGTGTGGAGATGAATAATTGAGAGGTTTTGCAATATTTGTGTCAACCCAAAAACCTATATTATGGATGATATTGGTCGCGAAAGCCTACGTGTTAAACTCTGTGTCAACTGTTTAAATGTCCACAAAGCGATGGATCGACATAAGATATGTTATACTCTTGTTAGACATCCTGAATAAATTGAATTAATGAACAACTGTATGCGTTTCACTGATTTATATGTAGCTCATAAAAGTATTGTTGAAAGGTTGAGATTGAAAGGCCGAACAGCAGATCACGTGGTAGACGGAAGCAAACAGCGATCGTCTTACCCCTGGATGCCCCCCCCCCCCCGGTCGTCCACAGGCTCTGCTTATGCTCCAAGTTGTTTTTTTTACATTTGGCAAATAAATCAATTCTTCCAGCTCATTAGAGAATATCTACAGCTTTTCGCACCCAGTGACCCTCTGCTTTCCACCCTCTGCTTCACAGCAATGGTGTCGTGAAGTTTACATATTCTGAAACTAGAAATATTATAGTACCGTCGAGTACGGGGCACGGGAGTTTGAGGCTGCACGCTGCTCCTGAGTTTAGCTCCAGGGGTCTCAGGTGACAAGTTGCTCTTGCATCACAGCCCAGGTACCTGAGGCTGCAAGCCTTTCCTGTCCTCGGCTTGGAAGAGCCACCAGAGTCAATACTCTATTGTGCGGTTGGGTGATTTTTCGAGTGACACGAGTAAGTTGACTGCTTTGTGATTGTTTTGGTGTTGTGTTTATTTGTGTTGCGTTAAACATTAAAATGTCTGTAGTACGAGTCGGCGGTTCTACGTTTTCGGCTGACTGTGCTGAGCAGTGATTGCGCTGAGAGCTCGGGTGGCCAGGACCGCTTGACGAGGGCTTGGAGAGAGGTCACGTCAGACACACTCTCACACTCCTGTTGAGGGTTGTTGCGGTAAGCGATCCAGGTCCGGCTTCGAGTGCCGCACTCTGATCTCGCCGGGAGTCCACAGAGGGTTTTTTTTAATTCTCCGGCTCGGTATGGGGCCCAAGTTTGTTGACTTTGGTTGTACGCCTTCCCCAGTCCATCCTTTTGCACCTTGGTTATTGCGTCCCAGTCAGGGCAGTTTGGAAATGCCTTGATGCCTAAATCTGTCCCCGACAAGAATGCTATGATCGGCTTAAGACTCCTCATCCGACCTCCATGGACAGCGACAACATCCCCGGTGGGTTTGCTCGGATACGAGGGACCTCTTTAATAATGCATGTGGCATTAAGCTCATCCCCACAATCGAAGTAACCGTGTGGGCCCTGAAACCAAACGTCTCGTTAAAATGCCAGCATGCACTACTGCAGAACATTGACAGTATGGCTGGGTAGGTCATTCTAGCAAAACTGGAGGGAGCATTGGCCTCTCCCATGGAACAACATTTAATGCCACGAGTGTAAAGGCAGAGAGCGGTAGTTCGTAGCCAGGTGGTCCTGGTTTCCACAGAGCTTATCGTGAGACTAGCCTTTTGCCCGTCCAAGGAAGGGTGTACATTCTATCGGGCTCTTGCTGTGTTGCAAAAACAAATCAATAAAAACAAAAATATCCCTCGAACAAGAATTTTAATAAGGTGACAAAGACTTTGCCGTTGTAGCACCAACGTTTTGGAAAAACCTTGTTTCCTCCCTTAACAACTATATCTTCCTTTAACAAAAATATCCTGGATCAGAAAGATTAGTGCTGAATAGTCACATTTGCAAATCTGATTTGTAACTTGGATCCTTACCTGTGTATTGATAGTTAAATGTCAATGTGCCATTTTATTGAGGGACTGTGTGGTGTCTTGGTATGGTCTGGGACTGTTTTTGCTGTTGTTTTTGCTGCCTTTCTCAAGCTTGATACATCGGACATATAAGGAATGTGTATTTATTTATATTGTGACATGCTTACCATTCTCTATTTCACACTCCTATCGATTTTTGTATTGTTGTTGACCTGCCCATACTAAACATTTGTGAAAAATAGCTTCATAGCTCATCGGATTTCTTCAACCTAAATAAAGATTTAGATTCATACGATGTAAATGTGCAGCTCTGAAATTGACTGCTTGTGTCACTTGGCGGAAGAGTCTCCACTAGAGGGAGCTCTAGAGAGAGAGCCCATCGAGAGTGTATTTGGCCTACTCTTCCACCCTGGGCTAATACTCGAGTTGCCTGTTTCTTGAGTGAACTAACGTTAAGTGGAGTGATGGGGGTGGGGATCCCTCTCCCCCCTTTAAATCCCGACAACTGGTTATTTTGTTATTGACCAGAGGAAAAAAAAAATTGCATGTTTTACTTTTTTTGTGTGTGTAGGGCTGTGTTTCGTGATGCCCGGAGCTGGGATAAGTAACTTGCCCACGGTATTTCTTGTGGCCCTTTAAATATCTACCGGAATAGTAAGGTCACGTGGACTCCTCGAGCCAAACGACTTCCGGGAGTCGGTGGACCCTACCAATAAAACGCGCGCGTTCACGTGATCAGCTGAGTAGTGATGACGCAATCACAATAATCTCCCGCAGTGTTAGAAACTTTGAAGAGAAGTTTAAGACGAATCTGAATTTAAATCGTAAATTAAACTTGTAAGTGTCGGGGAAATCCCCTTAAATGACAACTGGGCGCTTCGTCGGAGCCGAAGCGGCGTGGAAAAGCAATTGGAGCGCCTAGGCCCAATCCCGGTGAGTGAAGCCTAAGGTCTTTCCTGAGCGGCGCAGCCCGCAGCGCTCGTGGGGTCCCCGTGTACCGAGACCGTGGCTCTCCCCGTCGGCCCTGCCACTAACCTACGGGAGGGGGGTGTTATATCGGAGTGTAACTCGCGCATTCGGCATGAGAAGAAGACGAGCGCATCTCGAGGTGAGACTCGAGCCTTTGGCGTGAGACTTTGAGGACACCATAAGGGTGCGAGACTCCCGCGTAGCGACTTTGTCTCATTTGTGAGAAATTGCTCCGGACGGCGTGGGACTCGCGCAGTTGGGATATGAATCTCTACGCATCGGTCAGACAGCATTTGGACGGCAGACACATTCGCCGTAGGAACTGGGGAGTGGGACTCAACGTGGCATGGCAGCTCAGGGGCTGGGGTCGAGACGGTAATCGGGAGAGACCCCCCCGCCCAACCGCAGTGGCCGCACGCAGTAACGGCGTCAACATCTCGCGATTGTACTATGCTTGTTTTTTTTGTTGTTGTTTTAAAATTCAACAGTGATTCTGTGCGGTCAATTGTTGTTTTGTTTACATACATGGTGGTGGTGGTGGCGCCTTTTCGGTAACATATCTGTCACTTAAAGCGCCATCACATTCAAACTCATAAATTAGACAATTCTAAACCCACCGGGAAGAGATCGACTTAGGATGTCGGGACGCGGAGAGCGGGGCCAGAGGCGTGCGGTTCACAACAAGGAGCGGCGCAGAGGGAAGCGACCGACGGGAGGAGGAGGAGGTGGGGGAGGAGGCGGAGGAGTTGGAGTTGACCCCGTGGATGAGTTCAAGTCGTTCTCCAAGCAGCTGTTGGCACTGGGATTGAAGATACGCGAGGTGGCAGGAGATGGGTGAGTGCGAGAGCCAGTAGGGTTTGGAGGGTGAGTGTGTGTGTGTGCGAGGTAGTTTTTGGTGCACCGAGCATGGCACAAGCGCCATGGCGACGTCACCACCACTTCGTGGCGAACGGCGATTGTTTTTGAGGGTGTGATGTAGAGGAGGTAAGTAGTGTGTGAGTGTTGAGCTTAGAGCAGCGTTCTTCATTGCAAGTCTCGCGGGCCGCTGGTGGCTCCTCGTGGCCTTTAGTGTGGCCCCTGGCGTGCGCCTCACCTCCCCCTCCGATAATACACAAATGTGAAAATGCCCCATCGTGCTGTCAAACCCCCAATGGTTTAAAATGTGTGGCAGCCCTCCTACTGATGTCTTATTGGCGAAAATTGCCCCCTTCTGCAAATTAGTCAAGAGCACTGGATTAGAGTGTGAGAGTGGGGGGTGAGGTTGTGTGAAGTGTGACTGAGAAGTGAGGGTGTTAACGTGTTTGTGGTGTTCTGTGAGGTGTGGCTGTTGGGATCGGTGAGATCTGTGTTGGGCTTAGATTGTGGCTTTCGTATAAATGAGGGCGCTTCTGTTATGCCTGTATGAGATGTTGGGGGATTGTGATGTGTGTGTGGTGGTGAGGTTATTTGGGTGTATATCATTTTGTGGGAACAGTATGTGAATGTGTGTGAGGTGTGGTTGTTACCGTTGGGGTGAGTGTGAAGCGTGCGAGGGTGAGAATGTTTGGGGAGCTTGTGAGTTTGCGAGAATATCGGGTGTGCTTGGTGTGTGAAGTGGTGTAAGTGTTGGGGTTAGTATGGTGTGTGAGGTTGAGGTCAGCGTCTGAGTAAGATGCGATTGTGTGTGTGTGAGAGAGTGGGGTCAACATATGAATGTGTGTGTTGGGTGTTTGATGCTGTGTGGAGGTGGTGAGTATGGAAGTGATGGTGTCAAAGAGAGTGTGTGGTTAGGATGTGCGATTGTGAGAGTGGGTGTGTGCATTTTGTTATCATTCCTTCATTTCTCCATGTCCCCAGTCGTCTTTCCGTGCCTCACTTCGCCTCCCTTTGCTCCCCTTCACCTCTTCCTGCCTCCCTATATTTCCCTTCATCTTTTTGTGCCTTCAAATCCCCATGTATCCTTTCACCTCCCCGTGTCTCCCTTCACCCCCCTCCCCCCCATACTTCCCTTCTCTCTCAAAATTCCTCCACCTCCACGCCCCCTGTGATGGTGGGTGCAGGAACTGCCTGTTCCGAGCGCTGGGCGATCAGCTGGATGGCGATGTAGGGGGGCACCTAAAGCACCGTGAGCACACGGTGGAGTTCATGCGCGCTCACCGCGCTCACTTCGAGCCCTTCCTGGAGGACGACGTGCCCTTCGAGCGGCACGGTGCGTGCGACTCATCACTGATGGTCGATTCACAGAGTACAATCCATTGTCACTCAAGCTGGAGTGTGTCCCTTCATCAGTTCTCCAATTGAAATTGATTGTTACGCAGAAAATGTAACATTGATTCGTCAATATGCCGTGTAAAAGTGATTGTTATGCTCGTGACATGTGCAACAATACAACAATTCACTGATTAAAATCGATCATTTATCACATGATGAATGCATCAATGCGTGCATCTTAGAATCGATTCTTTTTGATTAATGCAAATCAAATTATTCAAAAATCAAATTATTGTGTTAGCAGAGAGCAGAACAACAACATCCATTGTTGAACTGTGTTATTCTCCAGCGTATATACTCCCTGCCTTAATCAACCAGGACTGATAACCAGCTTTGTGAAGTATGGCGTTATTTTGATGAATGGGGAGCCCCTCATCAAGCAGTGGAATGACAAAAGGGCTGCACCCGTGCATAAGCGAATGCATTTGTCATGTATTATATACATGTGTAGTGAGTCCAACTGAGTTGCAGACATTATCTTAGGAGAAACACTATTTATTTACATAACGGTACGTAACATAACACAATCTTCACTCGGGTCTCGAATGCCCATCTAACCACGCTACGGCGGAACTAGACACGGTTCGCAATCCCGGTCCGGACCACAAGCTGGGTCCCGGACCGCGTGGCTAGAGGCTTCTTTTCCCCCGACGTTAATTTTCATAACACCAGCACATGAAGAACCCCGAGCTCTTCACGGGGCCCTCGTTATATCCTCCCGGGCTGGGGCTGGCTCCGCCCTTCGCCCCGCCCACCTTCCAGGTCTCTCGGGCTCCTTCTCAAAAGTTCCTGAGAGCTCTTTTGGACCACGTGACCGCCCTGTGGCCCCCGTCCAACGGTGGCCCCCTTCCAATATCATCCGGTCACGTGTCAGCAGGTCAACCAGCGTATCATGCCCTAATGTAACCCTGGCTGGCTAACGCTCCCTCTCGCTCCCTCACCGGGAGCCCGCACCGCACACTGCTCGCGGTGCCTCCACGCTAACTAGCGCTCACCCAGCCCCGCCAGGGCTGGTACTACACCCCGTAACCCGGGCTGTCCATAATGACAACACATCCGCCGTGGCTTCGTAAGCCCCGGCACCATACAGTGACAGCCACAGTCACTACACATGTATATATGTGTACATGGAGGTTTGTGAAAGACGCTACTGGAGAGTTGGAGGCAGTTGCCTTCCAACAACAACCGAGGGCAGAGGAGCAATGCTCACAACAACGAGCAGAGCGCCGTGTGGCTAAAACACAGAGAGTTGGTACAGTGCGAAGCACAGCTGGTGCATCTGCCATTCATCTCAGTCTGTCAACCCATGGCACCTGGGTCTGTTGTGTGACCTGGCAGCAGGCCTTCCACACTTCACGTGACCTCAGTGCATCTAGCATGGCACAAGCGCTGTGGTAACGTCAACCGCCCCTTCGTGATGAACGGCGGTTGTTGTGATGGTTACATTTGTGTTTCGCTAAACAGTTGTATGTATGCATTTTGTGTGTGTGTGTGTGTATAGTCGCGAACCTAGCTAAACCCGGAACATTTGCGGGCAATGATGCCATCGTGGCATTTGCTCGGAGCCATGAAGTTGTGGTCGTCATTCACCAGCTCAACGCACCTCTCTGGGAGGTGAGATCGGTGGTGGTGCTGATGGTGGTGGTGTGGCTGTGTGATGGTGGTGCTTCGTGCCCATGATAGTGGTGGTCCGTGACCATAATAGTGTCAATGTTTATGATGATGGTAATGATGAGGATTGTGACCATGTTGATGGTGGTATTTGTTGTGGTGTTGGTCATGCTGATAGCGGTGTTGTTACATGGTGATAGAAATTTAAGACCCCAGGACTGAACTCACAATTACAAGTTAATCTGATTGCTGCAGTGATTTTAATTGAACCCAGGTCTGGAGAGGGAATGGTGGTGTTGATGTTCATTGTATTGGTGTTGATAGTGTTGATGATATTCTTGGTTCTTTCGGTAAAGTCACGTAGAAGGGAAACAATAAAATAATTAAAAAAAACACGTTACCACAGCGTGTTGACGATGTCGGTAGTGTTCACATTGATGGTGCTGATATCGATGCCATTGTTGTTGGGTGATGTCAACGATGTTGATGTCATATTGATGGTGTGAATGTCGGTGATGGTGCTGCTCCTACAATTGGTGACTGATTCAAGTAGGCGTTCATGTAGTTGGCGATGGTGTGAACGTAGTTGGTGACCGTGTTGATGTTGGTGACGGTGTTGTTGCTGGTGCATGTAGGTGCGTGGCACGGACAAGGCCGGTGCCCGGGAGCTGCACATCGCGTACCGGCACGGGGAGCACTACGACAGCGTGCGGCGTGTCGGGGACAACACGCACTGCCCCGCCAGCCTCCACACCAAGGTCCAGTGCCCCTCCACTCGCTCACTGGCTCACGCTCTCGCGCACTCACTCCGCATGCTCCCCCATGCTCGATAACATTCTCCATAGGCGTTCCTGACGCTCCCAATCTTTCACGTAAGCTCCCGCAATCGGTCGCGCTCGCTCTCGCACACTCTTCTACATGCTCTTGCACACTACCACATGCTCCCAGACTTGGTAACACTCTCCCTAGCTTTCCCAAACACTCCCCACACTCAATCGTTCTGCCAAACTCTCGCTTTTAAAAACTTGCCCACTCTCCCAGACTTGCCCACGCTCCCCCCCCCCTCCCCCACTCTCCCCCCAACTCTCCCAGATTCTCACCAAGACACTCGCCCATTCACTCCAACACTCTCCTCCTTAATCTTCCACACCTTTCCGCACTTTATCAAACTCGTCTAAACTGCTTGACCTCCCTCCATCCCTGCCTACCTGCCTGCCTGCCCGCTGACCCTGTCTACACAGACGCTGAGCATGGATGAGGAGAACCGTAACCGCGGTGGGAGCAATCACTCCCCGAGTTCCCCCGCACGGCGCTCCGAGCGTGACGAGCAGGGCGCCCTTCAGAGAGTGAAGCACGCAACAGGGTGTCAGGTGACCCTAATATGTGTGTTCGTGTGTGTGTCAGGTGACCCCGGTGTGTGTATATGTGTCAGGTGACCAGTGTGTGTAAGTGGTGCATGCTGTGTGTGTGTGTGGGCCTTGGTAGTGTGAGTGGGGGGTGTGAATGTAATTAGGTTAATGTGTGTGAAGGGCTGGTAACCCCTCCACCTGACACTTCTACCAAACACCACGGTGGAAACACCGAAATAGCTCATGCTGGAGGCCCCAGAGGACAGGCGTTTATGACGTCTTCTGGCCAAACTCCGTTTGACAGAGCCAGACTCAACCCCACTCCCCACTCTCGGGGTTCCTCTAGGAACAGGAGACTTCTGCAATTGGCCATGTGGAATGTTTGGACTCTCATTGCAGAGCAGAGATTGCCACTCCTGTCAGGAGATGGACTGGTACCGCCTGGACCTCTATGGAATACAGGAGGTCCGGTAGACCGGTTCTGGCTCCAGTCATGAGGAGTGAACAGTTGTCGACTCGGGGCAGGAAACTGCCAAACAACAGGGAGTGAAACTTATTTTGAACAAAAGAATGAAGGTTGTGTTGGAGCATGGCTGTGAGGTGTGGGAAGTTCCAGGCTGCTTTGGGCTTGCCTCCCCTTCAACAAGAGGAAAGGAATGGTGGTGGTATTTGCTTACGCCCCCACTGAAAATTAACATCAGTGGAAGAATGCAGAAAAGGCCGATGAGTCGGACGTCTTCTATAACCTCCTCTCCTAGGTGCTAGCTAAAATGGCCCATCTGAATAGAGTTATACCTGTTGGGTCACTTTAATGCCCGAGTGGGTCATGAAGCAGACATCTGGGTCGGGGTAATTGGAAGGCATGGGCCAGATCAGGTGAATAATAATGGTAGGAGGCTGCTAGACTTTTGTGCAGCCCATGACCTTGTAATTATCAACACGTGCAGTGCTGCAAGGATGATTGGTGGCCGTGGGTTGCTAAGGAGATGCAATCTGCCTCAGTAGCCCGTGATCACAAATCACTCTTTAATTTCATTAACGTTACTTGCAGCGTTTCAGCGATAACCATTCTTAAGGGAAGAATGGTGAATCTGATCTCCGACCTCCAGAAACTGGTCTGCAAGTTTATAGAGCGTTTCTATGAGGTCTTGGGGGAGGGGAATTCCCTTAGCCCAGACAACATCATTGGGCAAGGTGCGGACAACCCTGCTGGGGCTACTGTGCTTCAAATATTAGCAGAAATAGCCACCCCTTCTGAGTGGTTAGCCGATATGCTATTTGTAGAGGAAGTACGAGAGACCAGGAAAAACATCGGGCAGAAATGAATCTCCCGAGAGAAATGCTGAGTGAGGGTGGCATAATCATCTGTGTGCAGACTACAGGGGCATCTCAGTGTGCCGAGAAAGGTCCTGGAAAGGATCATTCAACATCGCCTTGCCATATTCTCTCTCCGTCTGTTGAAGCAAAGTTGTAGAGAATTCCAACAAGACCTAGATCTTTGCTTTATTGACCTGTTCAAGGCCTATGATATTATGAACAGGCCAGGGATATGGGCTGTGCTTCGTGCTTTCAGAAACCCTGACTCTTTGCTCACAATCATTCAGGGCCTTCATGATGGTGGGCAGGTCCGGGTAAAGCTACGTGGCCAGGAGTCAGAACCATTCCCTGTTCACCTTATGGTGTGACAGGGATGTCCTCTGGCTCCCATATTATTTAACATCATCTTTGATCACGTAGTTCCAGAAGCTTTCCATGGCTGCACCGGAATAATTTCCATCTGGTACAGATACAATGGGAGGCTGATCGATGCCTGGGTGCCATCGAGGGATGACTCCCTATTGGTCAGCCATGTTATGTATGCTGATGATCTGGTGATTGCTGCTCACTCAGACTCAACTCCCCATTGGTGATGGAGTAATTGTGGAGAGAGTGGAGAGGTTTCCATTCCTGGGCAGTGTGCTTATGACCAACTCCGGTTTGACAGCAGAGGCCTTACTCCGCATGCCCAAGCAGATTCTGTTTGGCTGGATAGTGGGGGCTAAACAGCCATGACTCGGGCTGGAGAAGAGATAGACTGATGTGATGAGGGAGGATGTGGACATGAGTGGACTTGGAGGCAGTCACCCTCTAACAACAATGGAGGGCAGAGGAGCAATGCTCGCAACAACAAGCGGAACACCAGGTGGATAAAATGCAGCGAGTTGGCACAGTAGGGGACACAGCTAGTGCATCTGCCAGTCATCTCGGTCAGTCAACCCAAGGTACCTGGGTCTGTCCCCGTGACCTGTTGGCGAGCCTTCGAAACTTCACGTGGCCTCAAAGTGCACCTGGCGTGGCACAGGTGCCGTGGTGACGTCACCGCCATTTAGTGGGAAATGGCGGCTGTTGTCTTCAGTTGATCCCTGTGTGTATGTGGCAGATTACCTATGTGTGTCGGGTGACCACGTGTGTGTGTGTCAGTTACGGATACAGTCTGTTAAGACTGTATGGGGGATCTTTGTGTCGGGTGACCCGCGTGTACCCATATGTAGTCATGTAATGAGCTGTTTGTTTAATGTATCACCTGTTTAATGTAGCAGTCTTAACGAGGTGGTAGTTAACGAGGTGTCGTGGTGGCGCTGCAGAACGAGCTGCTGGTGCGTCAGTCCCTTGAGGATGCGGGCTTCAACGAAGACACGGCCATCGGGGTCGTGCTGCAGACCATGGAGGCCCTCGCCTCGTCCGCTCATGGTGCCCGAACGCCACGCACCTCCTCGCCACACTCACGTCCCCATTCACCACCTCACCGCACTCGCCTTGCTACACACCACCTCGCCACACAAACATCTCGTCACACACCCCTCATCACCACAGCCACTTTGCCAAACACATACACTCTTCATTACGCGCACCCAAACCTTGTTAAACACTCCTAAGCAATATACCTCTTCACCACACTTAGTTCAACATTTCATCACCACACCTCTTAAAACACCTCTTCACTATACCTCCTCACGTGTGCATAGAGAATATATAGAAAATGTTTGTCCCTTCCTCCGTCACTACCCTCTCCTCCCCTCGTGCAGATGAGGTGGAAGAGGATATCATCTCATCGTATGTGTAAAAAACCCTAACACTTATCTTTCACCCTCCTCCTCCTCCTCCCTCCCCCTGTCGTGTAGATGAGGTAGAAAAGGCTGTGACCTCGTCACTGCTGCTGGACGATCCAAACCTCCCGAGCGGACCAGACGAGAAGAACCTCCCGCACAGTTCCCATGACGACAGAGATTGCGACGATGATGATGAGAGGCGGAAGCACGGAGCCAGGCAGAAGCAGCAGCAGCAGCAGCACACCAAGGCATGAGCATCATACACACCCGGGTTGTTAAACGGGTACGGGTTAAACCGTAACCATTTCCAATAGAATCATCGTAACGAATGCACCGATTGTCACGCATTAATGTATAGACGGCACAGCGGCCCAAGTCACTGCGTGCCATCGTTTCTCGGTTAAAAGGTAAAGGCACAGCCCTGCAATTGCTTGATGCTCTCGCCACTGCTGGTAGAAGAGGCCTCCACTTGAGCTCCTGATCTCAGAAGGGGTGAGCGTACCCACACTTTACCCCACCACCACACGGGATGTGCCGGTCGATGAACTTTTGGATGACGGAAGTGGGCTGGATGGTGAGGGGGTGGAGTGGGGGTAGATTTAATAAATGTACCCCATTGTTTCAACTATTTCACTGGGAGTTTCTCGGTTCGAAGTGTCACGACTTGTCAGCCCTTTCTGTTTGTGTACAAATGCAGCAACCAGGTATTTACAGTTCTTTCTCGCACGGTAAATAATCGGGAATCCAATACAAATATATAGTTAATAATAAAATTATTTGGAACTTTCGGTTAAGCCACGTAGATAGAAAAATAATAAAAATTATCACGACGTTTCGATCACAACACAAGCAATCGTCATCAGGTGAAAAATATAGCGGGAGAGTTGCTGAGGCAGGAAAAAATATGTTGCGATCAAAACGTAATATTTTCATTTTTTTTATTATTTTTCTATCTACGTGGCTTTACCGAAAGACCCAAATAATATGATTTCCTGCAGTCACGAAAGCTTCAAGTTAAGATTTATAGTTAACTAGCGGAAAGTACCCGGCATTGCCCAGGTCTTAAAAATATTTCAAAACTACTCTTAAAAATCTAACAGTAGTGCGTACTGACTGTGGTGGAGTACCTGTTATGATTACAGCAGTGCATACTTTGGTGGTACCTGCTTTCACTGCAGCAGTGCATACTGTGGTGGTACCTGCTATCACTACAGTAGTACATGCTGGCTCTATAGCAGTGTTTATCGACTGTATAGCACAAAGTACTCATCTGACAGTGGCGTGGTGAGGCCGAGTCCCGTGCAGAGCCTCCGGCCTCGCCTAGATTGTCCAGCCGGCCGAGGTGGCACCTTGGCAGGCTGGGGCTGGGCTGCTGACCCCCCCCCCCCAGCCACGATCTCCCCGGCCGCTCTGCAGTACCGTATTTTCACGCATATAACCCGTGGGGTAAACAACTTGTTTACAAACAAAACAAGACCCTGCGGGATATATGGAGGTGCGGGCTATCCCAAAAACATTTTACACGTTTGACATGTCATAGCTCGTTTAATGTTTTCATGGTAGGACTATCCACTATGCAACACTTACCTTTGACGAAAGCACTGCTGAATTAACCACTTGCACTAAAATTGCACATGTTCTCACGTTTTAAATGATTCTAATTGTTTGTACAATTAAACGAAGTGGGCGCACTTTGTTTACCGTAATACTTTCAGTGGCTGTAGGGGGGTGAGAAAGTTTCAGCTGAGGCTATGGATTGCACAATGGGAAGGGCCTTAACAAGCGTCTACCAGACGCGGAATCAATTGCTGAGTCCCTTAGGCCGCTGCTATTGGCTGAGCACTATACAGTCGCGACCATGAGCTTTGTTTCAAACTTCCAATGGCTTTGTTGCCAGGAGGCAATGGCGTAACCGTAGTGCCGCTATTGTCTGCGCAGTGCGCAATCTACCAGTGCTAAAACTGTACAGGGGTAACTACCGGTCCAGTAGCGGCACTACGGTAACGCCATTACCTCCTGGCAACAGAGCCATTGGAAGTTTGAAACAAAGCTTACTTACTTATCTACCAGTTGTGTGTTAGTTATTTATTGGATATTTACTTTTGTTACTTATTTACTGTTTTAAGTTCACTCGTTTCCCGGTTAGTTTGTTTTCTTTGTGCGCGTTATGATTTTAATGTTAACAATTGATAGTGGAATGTATTACAAATGTAAACTTTTTATTAATATGATGGAATTAAGCTGCAGTAATGACGTTAAATATATTAATGCATGCGGGGTATATGGAGGTGCGGGCTATCTGAAATTTGTTTTACACAAAACGCTATTTTTGCGGGTTATATGCGTCTGCGGGTTATATGCATCTGTGGGTTACATGCGTATGCGGGCTATATGCGAGAAAATACGGTAATATCTACGGCCTATAGTGGTAGCATCTAGCGACTGTATAGTAGTAATAACTGCACGCATCGGGGTTGGGGGGATATCACACAGTGAAGAATTAACGTCAGCGTTTAGTATATATTAATAGCATTTTTAACGCGAAAGAAAATGTCCCCCTCACTCCCACCGAAGGCGTGCGACTTGGCATGGGCCCCCCCCCCACCAAAGGCACGTGAGTTGGTATGGTCGTGCACGCATCATAAATAAAAGGGAAGCGCACTAAATCGCTAATTAATCTAATTTAATATTGACGGATGTGAAAAAGGAATAGCGCTTGCTCACCGAAGGGGGTTATGGCCTGGTGCCTGGCTATTTTTTAATGTAAACCCCATCGTTGGAGAGCAAAGCGCGCGACCACACACAAACTCAGCCACAAACCCATACACAATTTTTGACTTTTATAAATATATAGATAAGTTGGTTTCTGTAGCCGATATCACGAATTGTACTAGATTTTTGGGTTAGACTACGTAATGTTCTGACCAAATCTGTTTTGCGAACTCTTCTGCACCTGGCATAGCCAAACAAATTTAGCAAATTTGTATTCTTTGGGTCTTATTTTTCTATCTACGTGGCTTTACCGAAAGACCCAAAGAATATTAATTTCTGCAGTCACGAAAGCTTTAAGTCAAGATTTAGAAAATTTGGTTTGTGAGAATTGTCTGTCAACTTACCGGAGAGGAAACACTTGTACAACACGTGTCAATTTAATTTGTTTGGCTGTGTTGGGTGGAGGAGGGTTCATGACACAAATGTGGTCAGAACATTGCATGGCCTAACCCATAAATTAAATATGAACTCAAATATAAATCTAAATTGTAATGTTGTGTCGAGAGGGTCCTTTCGATTTAAAGCTTTTGTGACTGCAAGGATTCATCTTCTTTGGTTCTTTTGGTAAAGTCACGTAGAATGAGAATAAAATAATAAATTGATAAAATAAAATAACACAATAAAATTATCACGACGTTTCGGCCACAACACAAGCGGCCTTCATCAGGTGAAGGGACGAGACTGTCTGGAGAACAGCGCTAGAGCGAACACAGCCAAGCTCAGACCGCGACCTTTAAGCTTTGTGAGAAGAAACAGAGTGCCTTGACAAAGGAATTAGCATAGAATTTAGCATTGAAATAGCTGAGTGATTAGCTTGTGACTGGTCACAGAAATGGCTATGTTACAGTCAAAGCATACACATTCACAGAGGCACATAGTACAAATCAAACAGGAGAATTTAGCATTGAAATAACTGAGTGATTAGCTTGACTGGTCACAGAAATGGCTATGTTAAAGTCAAAGCCTACACATCTGAGCTATTAACAGATCTGAAATCGCTGCAACCCTCAAAAACGCTAAGTTGCCACCTAGCAACATCAGCAAAGATGAACGCTTTGAATTATCTCAATTAAAAAAGAGAGAAATATTGTCGTCCTCTCAGCCGACAAGGGCAATGCCACTGTCATCATGGACAAAACAGAATATAACAACAAAATTCAAGAACTACTCAACGATGGCAGGTATACAGAAATAAAAAGAGATCCCACCAACAGCCTGGTTACCAAAACGAACAAAATCATCTCTGATTCAACAGCATTAATTGATCAGACCAAACAGTTCTCGTTGAAACCCTCTGCTGCCAGACCACCAAGATTATATGGCCTTCCAAAGATACACAAAGAAGATACACCCCTTCGTCCCATCGTCTCTACTATCAACTCCCCCACCTATAAACTGGCACGTTTTCTTGCTGATATACTGCGACCTTTCACTGGAAAAACCACCTTTGCGGTACTAAATTCTACGCGTCTGGTATCGATAATCAAAGGCATTTCCCTGTCCCCAGACGACCTGCTTGTCAGTTTTGATGTGGTGTCCTTGTTCACCAAAGTCCCGGTACCTGACACCATCGCTATCATTGAAGACCTGGTTCATCAAGGACTGCATACTGATGTACCCCCCCTGGTGAGACATTGCTTAACCAACACATACTTCACCTGGAATGGAACTTTTCTACAGACAAACTGAGGGCACTCCAATGGGCTCCCCCCTATCTCCGGTTGTAGCCAACGTATTCATGGAAAAATTTGAAACTGACGCCATCCAGACTGCCACTCTACGCCCGACCTTATGGAAGAGGTACGTGGATGACACTTTTGTCATCTGGCCACATGGCCAGCCTGCTCTAGACCAATTCCACGACCACATCAAATCCATACACCCAGCCATCAGATTTACCATGGAGGTCGAAAAAGATGGCAAACTACCCTTTTTGGATGTCTTAATTGAAAGGAGACATGATGGTTCAATGAGCCACTCTGTCTACAGGAAAGCTACCCATACAGATGCTTACTTCAAACCAGATTCCCACCACCATCCATCCCAGAAGAACTCTCTCATCAAGACTCTATACCATAGAGCCCAATGCATTTCCGACCAGGAACACATTACCAGTGAACTCAAGCACGTACACCAGGCTCTCAGGGCTAATGGTTACTCCGACTACACAATCCGCAAAGCCATCACTCCAGTCATGAAGAAGGATCCTCTTGTGGAGCCACTCAAAACCATCACCTTACCCTACATTTCAGGGGTCACTAAAAAGATCTCCAAAATCCTGAATAAACACAAGATCCAGGTCCGATTCAACACAGTACATAAAATCCGTGATCTGGTTCCATCTGTAAAAGATAGTACCTGGGCGTTTACAAACTAAAGTGCCTCTGTGGTAGTAGCTACATTGGAGAAACCAAACGACATATCTCGGACCGCATCCGCGAACATAAAGCATACTTGAAACACGGTAGGACGAACTCCTCTGCCGTGGCAGATCACTGTTATAATTCAGTGGGCTCACATGACATTGACTTCTCCAAGACGGAGGTTCTTTGCAAACCAACCGGCTACCATGAGAGATTCGTTCATGAGGCCATTCACATATACAAGCACAGAGACAATTTCAACCGAGAAGATGGATTCCGCTTAGTAACCATTGGAAAGATGTTTTAAACCATTTCCGTTCTTAATTGTATTTTACGATGACCTTCAGACCGCAGCTCTTTCGCTGGCATTGACTCTTAATACCTCTCACACCACGGTTAATGGTATGGTTTACAACATGGAGTATAACAGCGCCTCGCAGCTGTCTCTCTCTCCCTCCTCCGTTCCGACCATGGATGAACTCTTCCGTCTAAACGGGGCTCGTAGTTATCCGTGGTGCTAAAGTTGAGGGTAAGAATCCACCCATTTTTTCGCCATATAGCATTGTGATATATAACGACTTATTGTTGGTAGCTTAGCTGATTGGAGAATATATAGAGTTTATTGATAACAATGAGGTCATTTATATTTTAGTTTTTTATTGGTTTACTATATAGTATTCATTGTATTGTGTAGTGTATACCCAGTTACTGTTAATAGCTCAGATGTGTAGGCTTTGACTTTAACATAGCCATTTCTGTGACCGGTCACAAGCTAATCACTCAGTTATTTCAATGCTAAATTCTCAATGCTAAATTCTCCTGTTTGATTTGTACTAGGTGCCTCTGTGAATGTGTATGCTTTGACTTTAACATAGCCATTTCTGTGACCAGTCACAAGCTAATCACTCAGCTATTTCAATGCTAAATTCTATGCTAATTCCTTTGTCAAGGCACTCTGTTTCTTCTCACAAAGCTTAAAGGTCGCGGTCTGAGCTTGGCTGTGTTCGCTCCAGCGCTGTCCTCCAGACAGTCTCGTCCCTTCACCTGATGAAGGCCGCTTGTGTTGTGGCCGAAACGTCGTGAGAATTTTATTGTGTTATTTTATTTTATCAATTTATTATTTTATTCTCATTCTACGTGACTTTACCGAAAGAACCAAAGAAGAAGATGGTCCTTTCCTATATAGTACACATCTGGGCAGTTCGGCAGCATTGGTTCAAGCAAGCCTGACTGCTGATGAGACCCTATCTGTCAAAACCTGTCCATATATGTTGCTTGTAATAAACCAATGCTGCTGAAGGCCGTGTTGTAAATTGGGAAGTGTAATAATTTTACACAGAGGGATAGATAAATGAAGGTGAGACGTATTTCGTGCTCATTTATTTTTTTGTTACTAACGATCGTTTTCTGTGACCTCCTCCCCCCCCCCCTCCTCTTCCCCCTTCCTCCTCCTCGTCATCATCCTGTGCAGCAGACCGGCGCTCGCCAGAAGCGCGAGAACAAGCGTCTCGATAAGAAGAGGCGGCAGGTGGAGCGGCACAGGCAGCGGGTGCTGGGCGAGCACGGAAACTCCGCCGGGGGTGGCGGTGGCGGAGCCGATTTGTCCGACGGTGCTCTCCCCGTTGCTCTCACCAAGGGGCTGTCCACGCTCAGCATTTAAAGTCCGAATGGAAGAGACCTCAGTGATGCCACTGTTCTCTCTCGGTCTCTCTCCCTCTCTCTCTCGCCGGGTCTCGATTCTTATTTTAGTTTGTGGTGGGGATTTTTTTTTCATTGTGTATTTTGTTCGGGTTTGCTTTGAATCGCTGCTGCGGCCTAGGCATTCGACACTTGCAGCGCGAGTTCAGATCCCGGTCGTGATGTTGATGCAGCCCATCGTCGTGATTGTCATCATCATACTATCATAATTTAGGGCAGCAGGGTGGCAACACAAGGGGAACACGTGTGCCTAACGGCAAGAAGGGACCTGGGTTCTACTCCCGACTCGGGGGACCTTTCGGTGTGTGGAATTTGTTTGTTCTCACCCTCTATCTCGCATCAGTTTCAGAATCAGAATATTTATACTGGATGAATTCAATGAGCTATGAAGCTCTTTTTAACAGATATCCATCTATGATATCTACTGGACATTCTTCCGGATTTTTGGGTTTCCTGCCATAGAGAAAAAAAAACCCTACAATTTTACTGGCATTGGCCAAAATAACCACAATGATGAAAACATTTCCATGCGCACCATTCAATTGGGATTACACACAGCCCCGTCCTGAAAAAAACTTGGAGGGACCCACATGAAGATGAGTTTGAGGCTTTCCCGCAGGCCACACAGAACTTTCAAATACCTTTTGGCAGGCGACCACACAATAACACAATCGAATAATTAAGTGAAAAATAACGTACATGTCAACTGAGGCTTGTATTTTATGATAATTATACCCGCTGTAATAACCAGGGCAGCCTGTTAAAAATCGAACCGCAAGCCTCTGCATCGAGCGGCGGACTCTGCTGGAACGCGTCACCGTCCGATTGCGTCACAATAATTTTCATCTGTCATAGGTTCACCATGATCGTCGCCCGGCCGGACCCACTGCTCGGCAATCGACTCACAATCAGTTTAATCCCTGATTGGGGGGGGGGGGGGGGGGCGGGGGGGAGGTTGACTCAGCTCATTGAAAATATCTCTGAGGTTCATAATATTGGTACCACTTTGTGCAAAGTCATAATTCTTGTTACAATAATGATATCACCAACCTATTAATCATTATGCACCACTTTAACAATTGTTACGACATCAACGTCATTATGTTTAGGTCTGTCATCTCTATCAACATCACGACCACCGCTAACCTATCATCTTCTTGTTCCAGGTGGCTACATTGAGTACCACCAAGTTAAGGCTACTAACAATACACTGTCGGGAATTGACAGTGGCTGCTGCCGTTATATTTAATTGCAATAGTCTGGGTGCTACCATAGTAATGTTGAATTTCATCAGCGGGTGACGAGACCTCGCGTGCAAAATGGAAACTTTTTTTTTTAACATATATAAACGTTCAATTTGAACTACAGAATTCGGCATTGAGTTACTGGTAAGTCATGCACCGAATCGAGCACACGACGATGTCTGGGTTGGTGTCTCGGGATTGCCGCTTATGTTTTAAATATGTTTTCCATTGTAAAAATGTGCGTCTCTTCGACTGTGTAACTGGAAAAGCCAATGTGAACGCAAGGGTCCCTTGTATAATTTAAAACAATTTCTTCGTCTATTTCGCTTTTGTCATTTTTTTCCTCCCCCATAATATTCGTTATCCCCACTGCTGTCGATATCGTGGCAAGAGACGTCGTAGGAATGGATACAATCGAACAAATTTTTATAGAACCAAAACCTGGCTTCTATAAGAGGTATTTACATATTTTTAGTGTCGGAAAAATGTTGCTTCGTCATCTCGTTTCGCTCCGTTATAGGGTAAACGCTCAACCCCAATGTCTTGGCAAGGCAGAAACAATGAGCACTCGGTGGAAAGTCAACAGTGGCTGTCCCTTGGAGAAACTGGCTCTCACCATAGCAATGTGGAATTGCCACCACTGTGCCCTGGGCGGACGATGGAGATGTGGGCACAGCCCTGACCCTTATCTATGACTAATCCTGACTTGACAACATATCTCTAGCCCTAATCCTCACTCTAACCCATAACCTCGACTAAACCATAGTGCTAGCTCCTAAACCTGACACCGACCAAACCTGAACTCTAACCTCAAAACTAAAATCTGACTTTAAACCATAGCTGTAACCCCTCTAAATCCTGACCATGACTAAACCTTAACCCTGATTCAAAACCACAGCTTCATCCCATAACCCTAGACCTGACTGATTTAACTGAACCCTAGTCATTTAATCTTGACACTAGACCACACCTTTAATCTTGTATATAAGCTAGTGCTCTAACTTCAATAAACTATTTCCCTGACCTGACTCCTTTCTGTAAAATTGCTCTATAAAGCCAATTTGTGTGGGGGGGGATGTAATATGATATATATACGCATTGAGATAAGAATGGTGTTGTGATGTTGAAGAGCACTTAAGTATTGAGTTGCGTGTGTTTCACATCATTTCAAACTTGCAAATAAACCAAATGCATTGAGTGGAGTTTTGTGGATTTCAGTTTAACCCCGGGGGGTAAAAGATAGTGGACCTCTCGCCAAGGTAAGGGTCGCCTGAGATTCGTTCTTGTGATGGTTTTTAGCCAGGTAAGAGCTCACTGTGAACCATAATCTTATTATTGTGCTTAATATAACGATAGGTTTGGGGGGGGGGTTAAAGAAAGGATTTCGTAGATCGTGCAGAATTGTGCAACAGCCATTAATGAGTGCTTGGCATGTGGAAGAGATTACAGTACAGTACCCCGAGAAAACCCATGCGTACGAGGCGTTAACACTGAAAGCTCCACAATTAGTAGCTTCAGAATCCATGCTGTCCTACCCCAGTTCACATCTGCACTGACTAGCACTGGTTAAGTGGGTGTTAAACAAGCCCCATGACTAACATACCGCGGGGAGGCCTGAATGGATTTTTTTTTTTTAAATTATAATACCACCTTAACGAGGAAAGCATCATCCAGTCTTAAGTCTTTTTCAGGAGGGTCCTGCCAGGTTTTTGCAGTAGGGGTTGACGTGTGTCATCCCAATTGAGTAATGTGTAGTTAATTACGAGGCATTCGGATGTTTGGCCAATGCCACTTACATTGTGTGCATCTATTTAGCTATGGGAGGACACTGTGGGACCTAAAATGAAACCCCCGCAGAACAGGAGAACATACAAACTCCACACAGGTGCCCGAGTCACAAATCCAACAGGCCCCTTGCTGAGGCACAAGCATTAGGGGCCGTCCATAAATGACGTCACGCACCTGGGGGGGGGGGTCAGACATTTGTGATGTGTGACGGGGGGGGTGAGAAATATGACGTCACATAAAAAGGCGCAACTTTAAATATAGACAACACGTTCTACTTAATTAGACTTTTTACAACATCAGAGTGCAGCGCCACATTAAATACGCACCACAATGACAATAGTTTAAAGCGATTTGAAGCATGTTTTATTTTGGGGGGGGGGGGCACAGCTTTGTGACGTCACATTTGAAAGGGAGGGGAGGGGTCTGACTTTTTGTGACGCCGTGTGACTAGGGGGGGGGTAAAAAAATCGTCCAAAATCGCGTGACGTCATTTATGGACGGCCCCATACCTGATGCACAACTGTGCGACTGTGATCATCCAGACCAGAAAACGCAATTCCCGATCCACAAATACGAAGGAGACATCGCAGCGATACAACTTCCGCTGCTTCTGACGCGGTTATCTGGCTTGGCCACCTGAATGTCAAATTGCAGTTGTTTCGATTTAAAGCTTTCGTGACTGCAGGGATTCACACTCCTGGTATCTTTCGGTAAAGTCACCGTAGAAGGGGAAACAATCAAATAATAAAAAAATATATAAAAAATAAAATTCCCACGCCGTTTCGACCGCAACACAAGCAATCGTCATCAGGTGTGAAAACCCCTTCCACGTGACTTCACCGAAAGAACCAAGAATGTATTTGCAGTTGTTGTTGCCCTGCGCCTACATCAGCAGCCGCACGAAAGAAGATGAGCGGGGGAGGAGGAACGCGGACCACGCCCCGCCCCCCCACTCCCCGCCCCGCCCCCCTAACTCTCCGCCACGCCCCCCCACTCTCCGCCCCGCCCCCAACTCTACACCCCGCCCCAAAACCCCACCCCGCGTCTGAACTCCGTCCCCCCCCCCGACGATGAAAAATCCCCGGGACAGGGAACCGGATCCCAGAGCCGGTTCCGCGGGCAGCGGCGCTGGGCGGGAAAGGTGAGGGTCTTGTCGAGATTCGGAGTGAAATTCGCGTTTTATTATTATTTTTATTATTTTTTTTAATCGTCGCTTTGTCTAATTTACGACGTTTTGTTTTTCTCTCTGTTGAGAACCCCCCAACTGAATCGACGCGTGGCTAGGGCCGTGTCGAAATCGGCGTGTTTTGTTTGTGGTAAAATATCGTGAGGAGGAGAGCTGTGATGCAGGGGGTGGCTACGAGGAGGCTATCGGCTGAGTTGCTTTTATTCCTCGGCAGCGGTCATCATCATCATCTTCTTATCCCCTGTGGATGGAGGTCGCGTTCCTCTCGCGATCCTGCCGTGTAACGATGCAGCCCTCTCACCTGCACGCGAGCTGCTGTTTCCATCGTTCCATCTCCCCCGTGGATGTCCTCCCGGAGGCGTTCCCGTTCCTTGGCGGCGCTCGCTGGCTTTTATTGTGAGGAGTCGGTGGGGGGGGCGAGATGCGATTGTTATGGTTGTATTTTTAAGACGTTCGCAAACGTCTCGGTTGTTAACGTTCGTATTTTTACCTCGGAGGCGAACGGACAATGTTGTGCAAGGTTAAGGTTTGAGGCTTTCTCGTGTCGGCGATATCCCGGTATCTGTTTTTATTGTGTATTCCGCATGTTTTATTACGGTAATAATTGTAATGTTGGATGTTATTGCTCTAACTGCGGTTTTTGACTTAAATGGAATGGAACTCATCTTGTGAGAGTACGTCTGCCGAGGAGATGTAATCAGTAAGATCGGCTAGTGTGGCAGACGAGGTGCTGGGTGGATTGTTTACATGGCACGATTTGGGAGATTGCGAAAGCTTTAGGGGGGGGGGGGGGCCTTAATCCAGCAGTGGATTGAGCATGGCTGATGAGGATCATCTATAGTAAATAGTAACATAAACATTTCAAATGCATGCAACTCGTTGTGCAAGAGCTCATCATGACATGCCACTTCACTACCTGCTTTACCTGAACATCTCATGCAATATTGATTATATGACGATATATATGGTTCGGCAGTGGATTGATTGTGGCTGATAAGGACTGTGGCTCACGTTGCAGCGTTTTATTGTGTGTAAGAGGTGAGGTCATAAAGGCGCTTAAGGTATAAAAACAGCTCAACCAGTTCATAACACTCCCCTAAGGAGACGTTTCAGGTAATGGCCCTGATTCATGGTGTGCTCTTTAGAAGGGCCATTGCACGAAATGCCACCTAGTGTATATTGTCTCTCGTTAGATGATGTTTTGCACCGCTGCCAATGCAGCATCACAATATATTTACGTAGGGATAGGTACGTGGTTATTGTGAAAATGTATACATTGTAGATCGTATTACAAATGTACTTGTGCTATTACAACTAAAATCTGTTTATCTCACCAGGTAAGGTCCCACTGAACTATATAGGTGATTTTCAGAAGCGACTTTGCCACAAATGATAGCCCCATGAAGTAGCTTTTATGGGAAATGAATAGCAGCCAAATGCTCTAAATGCATGTTTATAAATGTGGAGGGAAAAAAACAGAGGACCCGGAGAAAAATCCACGCGACCACCGGGCGAGAGAGACGCAAACTCCAAATATACAGCAGGCGTCAAGGGTCGGGATCGAACCCATGTCTCCTGTATACCAGGCGAGGTAGTTAACATCTCGCCACTGCAGCGCCCTTAATTAACCAGTCCAGCTGTTAACACGATACGGCAAGTGCTACACTGATCATTTACTAATACTGTACTCTGATGTGGCTAATATGTTAAAAAATTATGCTGCATTATTAATAATATGGTGGACAAGATATGCAAGTAATACTTTAAAGTGATGTAGTTTAGTGAGCTCTTGTTAATGTGTTATATGTATTTTAAGTGTTTAAGGTACGAACAACATGCTTAATCATACTCGGTCATGATCTACGGTATACACAGCTGATGAAGATCACCCCGTGGTGTCCCCATCCCTTATTTGATTGATGCCTCATCTCGCTCCAACAATTGAGCTCATCTTAACATTCCAACTCTACGGTCAAACTATCAGCCCCCTTCCTGCCTTTGGCTGCCATTCTGTCAGCAGTCTCGACACTTAACTTGATATTCGGTTGACTGTTCTAAAATGAATATTGTTGAGGCCTTCATCCAGCAACGGATTGTTCTTGTGCACAAGACAAGATGTTTTTCATCGTGAGGTGTTTAAAATGTGTTTTTATGCATCCTGTTACTGTATTAGGGTATCAGATTGTTATGAACCAGTATTGTTGCTAGATTAGCATTTTCATCAGCCATGGTCAATCCAGTGATCGGTGGAGGACTCCGATGAATCTCAGTATGCTCTCTCACCAGGTAAATAAAGAACGTGAATGCATCAGCGTGCAAATTTACAGTACAAAAGCCTAATGCCATCCTGCCCTGTGAAAGCCTGTCAATTAAGACATGTGTTTGTTAATTTCATAGTTATAGTCGCTTCGTGCTTTTGCTGTTACATTGGCGTAAGATGAAGACATTTACATCTGGAACTCTCACAAAAAGTACAGTTTGGCAACATCACCCAATGTTAGACAAACGACATGTGGAGGATGACATTACAGAAATACATCCGTGGTCCCTTCGATTACCTGTGATCCATAACAGGTGGTGGTGCATCTTGTGAGGTGCTCTGTGTAGAGATCGTTTTCGTATGTCCTCAAGATAAATTCTGTTTTAGGAGATTAATTTGTTTTCAAACTAAGTGAAATCCCAGTTTTATATTGTGTTTTTTTTTGTGTGTGTGCAGTCACTTGAGAACCCGGTTTAAACAAACGGACACGGCCGAAACCAGAGATCTCAGCCATTGCTGGTTCAGTGCTCTGACACAATATTAGCCCCCTGTGCCACTTAGGCACCTTCATATCACTCCGCACAAAAATGTTATCTCATGGCTCCACCTCCTCCACGGTAGTCATATTCTCGGATGTGTTCCATCCTTTGGCTGCCATTCCATCACTAGTGTTGTCCATTTGCCGTCATCCGTTCTCACCACGATGCGTCATGTCCGACCCCACTTGCCTTAACAGTCAATGTGTTGTCTGATTTGTATTTGTTCCCTGATCTGTGTGCTCCTACCACTGTGTTTGTGCATTCTAGATGTTGTCCGTATACATATTTTAATGTGTTACGTATGATTCACTGTCCCGGAAACATGGATTGTCACGATTCAGGCTCTCAGTTTCATTCAGAAATCGATTCTGCTCGACCACACGTGTCCTGCGACTGACTAACTGTGGTTGCATCCATTTATACTGCTGGGTGGACAAAGGTGGGGAGGTTTAAAAAACTTGGCCATTATTTCAAATGCCAAGCTGGGTAACCGAACCAGCGATCTCTGCCCAGCAAATTTCGTGCACTAACAATTGCAACACGGCAGCATAAATATTTTATTAATATCATATTTTATCAATGGTCGTGTGATTAATTATCACAGTGAGTTCCCCCCGCTCAACGAGCATGCATCGTTGCTCACCTTCACTGACGGCCCCCTGAGCCGGCGGTGGAAATTCCTTATTCCCGCGGCGGATTCCAGTCTATCTGCAGTTTGCGAATTATTATGAAGTAATTTGGGAGGCACATGTCTTCAACTTTGTGCACGATCGCTCGCCCGTTAAACGCCGCAATTGGCTTTTGGATAATCAATACTTGGTGCTGGTTACCGTGGAAACAGTTACACTCGTCTACTGAGTGGGCAATTCAACTTGCTTCCAGATCGGAGGGTTTTCCTCCAGATTCAGGGATTTTCCAGAGGTGCGAAACAATGGTTAGATTCCTGTCGCAGTGGCCCAGTGTATTTTGTGTCCTTGCTGCATTCAGATGGCTGTCCTCTCACCCGGTTCATGCTGGTTCATCAGCTAATAAGCTTGTGAAAGGAGAACACTAAGAATTTCAATGTGCTCTCACATGGTTAAATAAAGGATATTAATTCCTTAACAGGCACATATTGTAAGGCTAAGGCATTGTGCTGATTTCAACGTGCTCTCATTTGATTAATTGAATTATTTTAGGTCTTGAATCGGCAAATTTACAAGCTTTGGACGTTGTGATACATTTTAGAGTGCTCACCTGGTTAAACAAAGGATTTAATTTTATCAACCGTGCACCGTGACAATGAAGCCCGTTGTGCACTCGCATGGTTAATAAAAGCTCTTATAGCAGATTCACAAGCCTGGTGCATTGTATCGCTGAATCTCAATGAGCTCTCACCTGCTTAAATAAAATATGTCAATTGAAGCGCGTTGGCAGGCCTAGAGCATTGAGAATGTATATACTTGTAATATTATTGGTCTCACAATAGATTTGGATAATAGATTTAATTAATTATTTGGCATGTTAATAAACCCAGAGCATTGTGACCTTGAATCTCAATGTGCACTTACCTGGGTAAATAAGGGATTTCCATTCAGTACCTTCACAAACCTTGGGCTTTGTATTCTGGCTACCATGTTTCAAAGAGACCTGTAAATTCATTTAACCCACCCCAGACCCTAGTTAAATCAAGATTTCAATTCATCAGTCGACATGTTTACAAGCCAAGTGTGTTGTGGAAATGCATATTAATGTTGTGAAAACACATTGTAAAATAAAGTACAAAAATTCATAAGTCGGCACGTTTGCAAAAAGCTTTATCAATGTGACTGAATCTCAGTGAACTCTCCCATGGTTAAATAAAGGATTCAAATCCACAGTGCACTGTTTTCCAGTAAGCATATGTCAAAGAGATCTCAAGCTACATCTAAAACTCCCACTTGCCTCCCACTCCTACCCCGCCACCATACGCCTCGGGCATCTTGACAGTGAATCTCAGCGAGCGCTCACCTGGTTTCATCAAATATTTTAATGCTGCACATTGACAAGGCGAGGGCATTGTGTTCCGGTCACCGTGATCTGTAAATGCGTTTAAATCACCCACCCTCTCCACAAGCCGAGGGTGTCATGACGATGAATCTCAGTGTGCTCTCATACAATGTAAATAATGAACGTGAATGCATCAGTCTGCAAATTTACAGCACATTCAAAAGCCTAATGCCATCATGGCAATGAATCTTGGTGTGGGCTCACCTGTTTTGTAATGGATTTCAATGCAGCACCTATATTGCTGTGATATTGAATCTCAATGTGCTCTCACCTGGTTAAAATAAAATATTTCAATTCACCACTTTCATATGCCTTAGGCATTGTATTCCGATGATCGTGTATCTAACACATGCGTGTCATTGTGGAGAATATATACCAAAATAAATAGGCAGATGGTACGCCTCCTTGCCATATCCATCCCTCCACATAAAAAATTATAAAGTATTTTTTACACATCCTATCAGCCACATGGCTTTCTGTGAGTGTCTTTTTTAGTAGCTTTGGTTTAACACAAGCAAACTCTGGATTGGTTCCTTCATTCGTCATTTCATGAGCAGAGTCAGGCTTTCTTGAACCAATACTGGTGAATTGCCAGATGACAATTAGGCAAGTGTTTCTAATACATCTGTGGATATGTTTGAACACCCTGCCCCCTACCCCCAATCCTACTGGCAGCAGGCAACACGAGCGCACAAGCAAGCGTTGATGCCTGCTGAGTGGCGGTACCAACAGCAGCAGAAGCAAGGAAGGCTTCGCCCCCGGAACCGGCCATTGTGTTCCTCTCATCCTGGGGGTTCAGCCGCTGTCATCAGAGCCGCTGGTGAGTGCTTGGGAATGGGTTCATAAAGGGCGAGTTTGTGACACCGCGTCGGCGCCGCTGAGATTATTATTAATATACGAATTAAGGTTTCACTCCAACTGGGATTAAACTGGGTTCTCAGAGAGTTGATGGTGTCAGCCTGCTGAACAGTGACTTGCATAGAGACCCATCGACTCGCAGAGACCAATAGACTTACATAAAGACCTATAGATTGACAGTGCGGTCCATAGACTTACCTACAGATGCATATACTGCAAGGGCAAACCAAGAATCGATCAAATATTGGCGATTCAACTCATCTCGGGGCTGTGACTTGTTTGGTGAGTGTTTGCATTGGGTGGTGATTCATCGAGCAGCATGGGACATGATGGCGGTTTCTGATTGTCCACACCTTGGTCGTGCTGTTGACACCTGATGTGATTATCTTGCGATACCACATGGCAAAACGAGAGCGCGATGTGGTCTCGACTGTAAATATGACTATGTGCAAACCAGGCTTTCAATGAGAGCTTCAGTCCGAATGCAAGGGTGTTTGTGTGTAGTAATTTATATGGAGAGTGGTGGCATAGTGGTTAACGCACTGCACTATAAACCCTCCATCCTGGGTTCAATTCCCACGTGTGGCCAACATCATTGACAAGTCATATCTGAACCGGTCCCGGGCTTCCTCTAGTCCGACTCAATTTTAAAGTAAAATGTGGTGTGGTGTTTATACATTGAGGGAAAAAAGTATTTGATCCCCTGCTGATTTTGTACGTTTGCCCACTGACAAAGAAATGATCAGTCTATAATTTTAATGGTAGGTTTATTTGAACAGTGAGAGACAGAATAACAACAAAAATCCAGAAAAACACATGTCAAAAATGTTATATTGATTTGCATTTTACTGAGGGAAATAAGTATTTGACCCCCTCTCAATCAGATTTCTGGCTCCCAGGTGTCTTTAGAAGGTGACAACAGTTGATGCGATTATTCGTAAATGGAAGAAATACAAAAGAACTGTCAATTTCCCTCGGCCTGGGGCTCCATGCAAGATCTCACCTCGTGGAGTTGCAATGATCATGAGAACGGTGAGGAATCAGCCCAGAACTACACGGGAGGATCTGGTCAATGATCTCAAGGCAGCTGGGACAATAGTCACCAAGAAAACAATTGGTAACACACTACGCCGTGAAGGACTGAAATCCTGCAGTGCCCGCAAGGTCCCCCTGCTCAAGAAAGCACATATACATGCCCATCTGAAGTTTGTCAATGAACATCTGAATGATTCAGAGGACAACTGAGTGAAAGTGTTGTGGTCAGATGAGACCAAAATGGAGCTCTTTGGCATCAACTCAACTCGCCGTGTTTGGAGGAGGAGGAATGCTGCCTGTGACCCCAAGAACACCATCCCCACCGTCAAACATGGAGGTGGAAACATGCTTTGGGGGTGTTTTTCTGCTAAGGGGACAGGACAACTTCACCGCATCAAAGGGTCGATGGACGGGGGCATGTACCATCAAATCTTGGGTGAGAACCTCCTTCCCTCAGCCAGGGCATTGAAAATGGGTCGTGGATGGGTATTCCAGCATGACAATGACCCAAAACACACGGCCAAGGCAACAAAGGAGTGGTTCAAGAAGAAGCACATTAAGGTCCTGGAGTGGCCTAGCCAGTCTCCAGACCTTAATCTATAGAAAATCTGTGGAGGGAGCTGAAGGTTCGAGTTGCCAAACGTCAGCCTCGAAACCTTCATGATTTGGAGAAGATCTGCAAAGAGGAGTGGGACAAAATCCCTCCTGAGATGTGTGCAAACCTGGTGGCCAACTACAAGAAACGTCTGACGTCTGTGATTGCCTACAAGGGTTTTGCCACCAAGTACTAAGTCATGTTTTGCAGAGGGGTCAAATACTTATTTCCCTCATTAAAATGCAATCAATTTATAACATTTTTGACATGCGTTTTTCTGGATTTTGTTGTTATTCTGTCTCTCACTGTTCAAATAAACCTATCATTAAAATTATAGACTGATCATTTCTTTGTCAGTGGGCAAACGTACAAGCAGGGGATCAAATACTTTTTTCCCTCACTGTATATCAGCACTGGGGAGACAAAGGTGGCCTGAGACAGACAAAGGCTGACCGAGATATATAGACAGAAAATGAAATGAAGTGAGACTGACAAATGTACGTATGAAAAGAGGAATAGACAGAAATATGTAGTGACAGACGTAATTACATTCAGACAATGACAGAGAGGACCAATACAGACATAACGACAATAAACACAGTCACATAGACAAAGAACAGAACGTGGACACAGAGACACTGACAAAGAGGGAAACACTGACATAAAAATAGGCACACACAGATATGGACACTGACACAATCGAGAAAAAAACATAAACAGACTCGGAGCCCTGGCATTTGACTAGATTATGTAAAACAAGGTCCCTCATTGGATACAAAGACTGATTTGCACATGCGCAGAGGCACATGGAGAACTAGAGAGAGAGTACCTACGAACAAATGAATTATATGCACCTGATCTCAGAAGCTAAGCAGTTTTTAGCTCGGTTAATGCTTGGATAAGAGACTGCCAAAACCGTTATAGACTCTGGCTGCGAGGTCCAGAAAATGGTCATAGTGGTTTCTTTAATATATCAGTGGGGAGATTTAATTGCTATCCCCTCATATATGAGCTTTCGCTGTGGGCTGTGGTTTCTTTCCCACACAAAACATTCATTGATGGAATTGTCCAAACATAATGCAGGAGGTTACTGGAAAATTCTTCGGATTTTATCTTTAAAAATTCGCACAAATAATAATAACTGTTTTACAGAGATCTATACAGAAAGATGCTAAAAACGTAGGCACACACAAATATACAGAAAGGCTGACCGACTCAGAGGTAAAGTTTGAGGCAAAAAAGGCAAAGGTCCCCCATATAGACTTTAACAGATTTTTGGGGCAAGTGAAATTATTGAACGTCTATGAAGGCTGGCAAGACACACAATGGGTTGGGTGTCCAGCAGCATGCCTGGCTGCCTTCATCTCCCCAGTGCTAATGTTTACAGACCACACCAGGTACTCGTTTAGGGCTGACTCGACATCGGGGAGGCCCACGATCGGTTCAGATATTAGTCACTGATGTTGGTGGTGAGCAGGTATTGAACTCGAGTCGCCGGGTTTGTAGTCCAGGGTGCTAACCACTACACAACCACTCGCCATATTCTGAGACAACAACTGCCATTTGCCGCTAATTTTAGGGGAGATATCACCACAGCACTCGTGCCAGGCCTTGTAAAATAGCATACACGGAGATGCACACCTACATACGCTTATAGAGATACACGTGTGGATACACACAAACTCGTTGAAATGGACAGAATTAGACTGAACCGTGATACACACACACGGAGCCTCGTCTTTTGACTCGATTATGTAAAATAAGGGGCCTTCTCCTGGCATCTCCCTCTCATTCCCATTTGCATTTTTATTGATTCCAAGCCCAGGATGGCCAAGCCCTGAATAATTAGAGCCCTCCCTCTGGCTCGCTCTTGCTCGCTCTCGTTCTCTCACTCTTGTTCTCTCACACTCGCTCATGTTCTCACTCGCTCTCTCGCTCATGCTCTCACTTGCTGTGACTCACTCGCTCTCACTGACACACTGTGAGGGTTACAGGCCGATTTGCGTCATTCTGGGTAAACCTCCACCACTGCTATCTGCCAGTCATTTATCTTGTCTGCCCCTGCATAGCTCTCCCTAGTGTCATTTGCATCACAATTACGGTGTACAGTTTAGTAAAAAAATGGTATCGGCCCACCACCTTTTCCCTCTGTTTACACACTGGATGTTCAAAGCGTCGTGCCCCAATTTCACAAATGTTTCTTGCCAGTGCATTGGTTCGCATACTGTGCTACAATTCCTGACTACGGCTTACATCAGTGGCATGTATCTGAACCAGTCCTGCGCCTTCGCATAGGTCGACTCGGCCTATGCGATCGCGCAGAACTGTACCTTGTGTCATATGTTAAAAAAAAAAATTTGCACTGGGGAGACAAAGGCTGCCAGGTGTGGTGCTAGCTCCATCACCCTCTCTCGTGCCTTGTCTCACTGATAGCACTTGCCCCAACAGTCTGCATGGCTCTGTCGTGAATCTTTGTCTTGTCTGTGTTCTGTGTAGTGGTTTTGTTGTCGTTAGGTGGTAGCTCATTGTGCCACAATCCTGGTGACCCAAGTTCAATTCCTGACCTTCAGCACAAAAGCAAAGAGAGCATTCAGTCTTTCAATCACCCATCCATTTACTCATTTGTTAATTTCTTTACTCGCTCAATTGTTTGCTTGTTTGTTAAGTCACAAACTCAGTTGGTGTCTTTTGTTCATTAAATCTTTTTCCTATTTCTACATTCAGTCGTTCATTCGTTTTCCAAACACCATGCACTTGAATACTCATTTATTCACTCGCTCGTTCACTCGTTGGTCCAATCAGACGCCTGTGCTTGTTCCTTTTAATCCTTTGCTCATTCATAGGCTCAATCTGATTGCTTAATCTATCACTTATTTGCTTATTTTGCGTGTTCATTCACTCAGTTCATTATTTTGTTCGCTCACCCATTGGCATGTTAACCAACTTATTTTTTCCTCGTTCAATCAGTCACTAACTTATTTGTTTGCACATTCTTTCTCTCATTCAGTAGTTAACTCATCAGCTCGTTCTTTTCTTGATCGCTTAACGAATGTCTTATTTTTTCATTCATGTCGATTCATTTTGCTTATTTATTGATTAGTTGGCTCCATGTTGCTTATTCACTCAACTGTTCAGCCATTAAACCAGGCTTTCACTCATTCTTACAATTATTCTGCTCAACCATTGTGAGTCTCTCAATCAAATACACGCTCATTGGCTCATTTGTTCACTCGATGATTCGTTTTATAATTAACATGCGCGTATGACGTCAACATGTGAACTCAAGACGACAAGCTGGGACAATGAGACTTGTATTGTTTGACAGTTGAGAT